ATTGTCACCCAAAGAACATAAGAGAAATAGAAGGTAAAGGAAAGAGAATGAAACAATGAGACTCCCGGCATAAAATTGATAGACGTTTATGAACTGCCTCGTTTGGTTCACGAGTACAGTTCATATGAGGATTCATGAAGCTTCGAGGCTCGTTCTTTGTAACAACCTGCTGCATTGTAGCTAGACGAGAGGCAATTAAAGGCTAAGAAAGGCCAAACCAGAAAAGTGCCCATCAAAATTGGATATACAAAGTGAAATACCTGACCAACAGTTCAGTGCAACTGAGCAACAGTTTAGTGCAACTGACCAACAGTTTAGTGCAACTGACCAACAGTTCAGTGCAACTGTACAACACTTCACTGCAAAGGACAGCTCTCTACAACTCAAGTAACAGTTCACTGTAAGTGAGCAACTGTTAAGTAAACAAACGACCAACAGTTCATTGTGACTCAGGTAAAGTTTAATATGACTAAATACAGTTCAGTGTGACTCAGTAACAGTTCACTACATTTGATCAATAGCGGACAGCAACTGACAACAGCTCACTACAACTGAACAAAAGCACACCGCAACCGAACAACAGTTCAGTGCAATTTACCAACCGCTCCCTGCATCTGACAAAGAGATCACTGCAACTGACCAAAGCTCACTGCAGCTAATCAAAGCTTACTGCATCTTAATAACAGTTCAGTGCAATTTACCAACCGCTCACTGCAACTGACCAACTAACTATTCAGTGCTAGTGAGCAAAATTCCAATGTGACTTATCAACGGTTCAGAGCAACTGACCAACAACTCACTGCAACAATATACCTTCCGGAGAGGTGTCAGTCAGTACTTGTAAATTTAATCTTTACTGTAGTAAAATCAAACGGCACCAGTTAAGTCAACGTTATTCAACTCAGTCGTTTGCGATGAAAAAAAAATATTTTCCTGAAACCAGTATGATTGAAATCAACACTACCCTGCTGTTAAACCCAGCATGCACGAAGCCAGAATCACTAGAGTAATCACGTCTGCAGTAAACATGTGATTGTTTTGATTGTCTGTGTGAATGATTTCCGTCATATAATTTAACAATCCAGTGACCTGACCTCCAACAAAATAGCATTTACATGGTTACCTCCGATCTGGTCTACTGTTATGGAGGGGAGATCATCGAGCTGCAATCGACTCGACTTCAGTGACAGAAACTATACACGGACATTTCCTTCCCCTGAGTCAACAAGGATGTCTCTTCATAGGCGCATGAAACTGGGAGCTTATGCTTCCTTGCTCCCCTCCCGTTTTTTTTAATTTTTTTTTTTAAAAATATTTTACCCTATCTCAACGACTTCGAAGTTTCGTAGGGAATTCATCAGAAAGTTCAATATTATAGGGGGTAAGGGTTAGGGTTAGTCGGTGTTGATTACGCACCTAAATACCCCAATATTAATGGACTTTCCATACGAAATCACGGAGTTCTCTAGATGAAGTATAAAAAAAAGAGAAAATCCCTCCCCCTCCTCCACCCTTTCCCTAAACAAGGGTGCGTGTTCTTCCGTATTTCTGTTTATTTCAATACATCGTCTTTAAAAAAAAAAACGTAAATATAATTGTATAAGGTGTTGAGGGTTCCCCCCCCCCCTGTAAAGTCTTCAACTTAAACTTACTGTACGGTTACAACCATATAGACTATTTAACTTATCTGTCAAGACATCGCAAAAGCTCTTACATCTCAAGATGACCTATCCACCATTTGTCTTTTCTCCAAGTAAAGGGCCCAGTCGGATTCACATCCGTCCTCCCGTCACTTTCTGTGCTAGTACGTGAGCTCCCATCACCAATGCTCCCAAGTGTTTCCTTCTACAACCGCACACTGCGAAAATCTAATGTTGCCAGACAATACCAACTCGGAGAGGTTAGCAGCTTGTGGAGAGCCAATTGTACACCAGGGCTATTTAACTGGCGGCCCGCGTACCAAATCGGGCCCGCGAAGGCAATAGCAGGTGGCCCGCGGATCATTGTCAGTTGTACTATATATTAATGAGCTGCTTATGCTGGGGCATGAGACTATGGTACTTGGCAATACCCATTTTTCAAAATTTGACCCCTGAGAAAATTTATTTGAATAGCCCTGACTTATAGGGACTGACCTGATCAAAAAGCTTATTGTTAATGCGGTCTTAACATTTTTTTTTCCACATTTTAATTTAATAAATATCAAGCATTTGAGGCACTCAAAACAGATATTTCAGTCCAGCTCATGACTTTACAGTTGCTGGTGTAATAATATGGGGTCTTGGGTCGCTTCGCCTGTTTCAAATGAGACCTTGATTCCAAAAAGGTAAAAAAAAACCGCTGCTCTACACCAGTGTTCTTCAAAATGTCATTGCAGCTTTACGCTGGTTATCGAAAACGACACACATACACACATCGTGATTGTGACACAGAAAGCTTGCGGGGAAAGGTAAGGAGAGACATGCTCTGTGCAGAATTGCATGCTTGGCTTTGGAGGTCACGGGTGAGAAGGATTTTATGGATTTTTTTCTCCACAGTATGTTGGTGTGTTGGGAAATTAATAGGTGCACACAATGGCTGGCTCTTAACTGCGTTGTGAAATATACTGATGCATCAAAAGGCAGACGTGGTTAGGGCCTTGTGGGAGAACGTGAACAATTCAGAAGAGCTAATGAATCACATGCTACCTGTGAACCATTCACAATGTTAGAACTTAAATCAGCAATAAAAAAACTAAAGAAGAACAAGGCTACTGGTGCCGATGAAATCTCAGCTGAAATGTTAAAGGCAGCAGACGAAAACACCTTACAATATTTGCTACAGCTGTTCAATGATGTTTGGCTAAATGAATCCCCACCGCAACAGTGGAAAGAAGGTGTTATATTCAAACTGCCCAAAAAAGGTGATTTAGCAGACTGCAACAACTGGCGTGGTATCACCCTACTCTCCGTACCAGGAAAACTGTTCTGCAGCATGCTAATGCAGAGACTGAAAAAGCCAATAGATGCAAGACTCCGAGAAGAACAAGCAGGATTCAGACCGAATCGGTCATGCATCGACCATATATTCACACTCAGGACCATCGTAGAAGAGTCAGTAGAGTTTCAATCCCAACTCATCATCAACTTTGTTGATTTTCAGAAGGCCTTTGACAGCATACACCGCCCTACACTCTGGAAGCTACTCACAATCTATGGTTTCCAAGATAAATATGTCAATATTATAAAGGCCTTCTACACCGATTCCCGCTGCCTTGTTAGAACGGAATCTGGTAACTCTGATTGGTTCCCAGTAGAAACAGGCGTGAAACAAGGATGTGTCTTGTCACCGATGCTTTTCGGAATAGCACTCGATTGGGTCATGCGCAAATACACACAGGACACACATCTAGGCATCAAATGGGTCGACAAAGTTCTCGAAGATCTTGACTTTGCTGACGACCTAGCACTCCTGAGCACAACACATCTAGAAGCTCAGGAAAAAATGGACCGCCTCCAGAATATTTCAAGCCAAATCGGCCTTCAGGTCAACGCAGCCAAAACGAAAATCATCGATCTTACCAACGAGTCGAAAGACATCAAACTAAAGGATATTGTTCTTGAAAAAATCACCAGCTTCACATACTTAGGGAGCAAGATAACCTCTGCGGGAGATACAACATCAGAAATAACGACTCGAATCGCGTTAGCATCAAGTGCCTTTAACAAACTGTCAAACATTTGGAAGTCAAGATCACTCAGCAACAACACGAAACTTAAGGTCTTCAATTCCTGTGTGATCCCAGTGCTAACTTATGGTTGTGAGAGTTGGAAATCATCAGTATCAATCGATAAGAAACTAGTCGCTTTCGAGAATAGATGCCTCCGAAAGCTATTGAATGTTCACTGGTCGGACTTTAGGTCAAATACATCTATAAGACATGAAACAAAACAAAAATATGTGTCTGATTTTATTAGAATGCGTCGCTGGAATTACATCGGTCACGTACTCAGAATGGACATACAGAGACTTCCCCACCAAGCCTTCATATGGTCACCAGAGGGTAAAAGAAAACAGGGAAGACCAAAAGAAACTCTCCGTAGAACCATCACAAGGGAGAGCTCAACCATAGGTCTCAGTCGCACTCAAGACCTACATCAAGTGGCAACGAACCGACAGACGTGGAAAGCTATGACCTCTGCCCTATGCGCCATCTTTGGCACAAGAGGAATAACTAACTAACTAACTAACTAACTAATGAATCACAACAGTCTAGTGAGAGTGCTGCAGCGGGTAGCGACGAGGGGATCTGGTCGACAGTCAACGTTCACAGGACAAGCAAGACTAACGAATAATCGAATGTTACTGGCACCATTGGTATTAGAACTCTGTTCTGGCTGTTGAAGATGAGGACGGAGCGCTTATGGGCTATGATGTTGGCTCTTGAATCATCTCAACTCAGCTCTTCAAACGGTGGTCTGCTGGTTCAGCAATCATCAGCTTACCCCTAATCATGTAGTGGCTACATGCCCCCGGAACTACACTGTCACGGAGCCAGCAAAATGCTGAGGGCGACAGCTATAGGACTCATAGAGCTATCAGATTGTTGGTCGTTTCTTTGAATTCTTCTTCCTTAGGGCAGAGGGACGGGTGTTTTAAAAAAAAACAAAAAAACTTTCTTAGCTAGTGATACGTCAGTAAAAAAAATGAAATTGAGAAATTGGATGGTTGTTATTGCGGCTACTGGATATACTGAATACTACGACTGAATCGCTGTAGAAATGAATGGCATTCAATATGAAAAAACTCAGCTCACAGTACCGCACCAAGCACTAACTAAACTGTGAAGCTTGGGCAGCGTAAACGTAGTCGTTCGTCCATATTATGATTGTCACTGGCACAGGAAACGGGGCAAGTATGAGGTAACACGATAATGTTGCAGTTAAAACATCGACTAAGTTTGAGACCACAGAAATTGGGAAAAAGAAACATCCTTATCTTAGTCCGATATTTTCTGGCAGGGACGATTATTACGGCCTCATTGGAAAGAGCCCTATTTCTGATCATGTCTGGAATACGTTGTCTAACCCTTCCTATTCAAGAACAGCGAAGGTAAGATATGTGATTACAACCAAGGTAAGATCTAGGATGTACAACCAAGGTAAGATCTAGGATTTCAATCAAGGTAAGATCTAGGATTTACAACCAAGGTACGACACTGGATTTACAACCAAGGTACGACACTGGATTTACAACCAAGGTACGACACAGGATTTACAACCAGGGTACGATACAGGATTTACAACCAAGGTACGACACAGTATTTACAACCAGGGTACGACACAGTATTTACAACCAGGGTACAATACAGTATTTACAACCAGGGTACAATACAGTATTTACAACCAGGGTACAATACAGTATTTACAACCAGGGTACAATACAGTATTTACAACCAGGGTACAATACAGTATTTACAACCAGGGTACAATACAGTATTTACAACCAAGGTACGATACAGTATTTACAACCAGGGTACGATACAGTATTTACAAACAGGGTACGATATAGTATTTACAACCAGGGTACGACACAGTATTTACAACCAGGGTACAATACAGTGTTAACAACCAGGGTACTATACAGTATTTACAACCAGGGTACGATACAGTATTTACAACCAGGGTACGATACAGTATTTACAACCAGGGTACAATACAGTATTTACAACCAAGGTACGAAACAGTATTTACAACCAGGGTACGACACAGGATTTTTCAGCCAAGGTACGACACAGGATTTTTCAGCCAAGGTACGACACAGGATTTACAACCAATGTAAGATACTGGATTTAAAGCCAAGGTAAGGTATCCACAAGTAAACTATGCGGATATTTTGTCATCTGATTCCATTAGTACTGATATTGCCAAGAAGTTAGTTAGTTAGACGACAGATTATTATCACTGCACATCAAACAATTCAGTCCATAAGTGCTCGGATCCCCTCATAGTCGTTCTTGCAGCGTTTAGTGGCTGATGAGACCAGTCCTGTGTTGGTGTCGTTCTTGCAGCGTTTAGCGGCTGATGAGACCAGTCCTGTGTGGGTTTCGTTCTTGCAGCGTTTAGCGGCTGATGAGACCAGTCCTGTGTGGGTTTCGTTATTGAAGCGTTTAGCGGCTGATGAGACCAATCCTGTGTGGGTTTCGTTCTTGCATCGTTTAGCGGCTGATGAGACCAGTCCTGTGTGGGTTTCGTTCTTGCAGCGTTTAGCGGCTGATGAGACCAGTCCTGTGTGGGTTTCGTTCTTGCAGAGTTTAGCGGCTGATGAGACCAGTCCTGTGTGGGTTTCGTTCTTGCAGCGTTTAGCGGCTGATGAGACCAGTCCTGTGTTGGTTTCTTATTTTTCATTGTCTTGCCGCTTACTGCTCTTGTTAGACCACACCCCTTTTAACATGTTCTTGCAGTCTGATCTTGGTGGAAGATTCCTAGTCGGTACTTGATTTTATCAAACGAGTTACTTCTCGTAGAGCATTAAGAATATCTACTTGGTCCATGGCTCGTCCGCCCTTTAGAGTAGCTTTATCTGCAAATCTATCAGCTTGCTCAATTCCTCGCAAGCCCTGTCACAAATATGAAACTGATATGTGTCAGCCCCGACCTCTTCAGAGACTGGAACCACTGTCGTTTGACCCAACCTATCTCTGTTTTCCTGAGCATACTCACTGAGTCCTGGACAAAGCAGGCACCGGAAAAGGTTGGTGTTTCTGGACATATTGTGGCTTCGGTCACTGCCATGACCTTCAAAGTCAGACTACTTGTTGTCAGGGCAACAGAAAACGACCAATAACCGCAACTTAAAAAGCAGTTAAGATGCAGGCCATGGGTCCGGTCGTCTGGGGACAAGTTTGACATCAGAACAGAAATTACAAACCCATATAAGCCCCGCCTCCTGCTCAAAAGCTTGCCAAGAGTCGCCATACTATTGGTACGGGTTATCATCTGGTTAACTACCCGTCTTGCCTTTCCCTCGCGTCCCCTTTTGCACCTATAGTTCGCAGACACTACTTGCAGCATCAGTGTCTTTAGGGACGGGTTTTCAGTGCGTCTTTCATCGTACTTCCTACCTACCTGGTTCCACTGGCTAGAGACGATGTGGGCTAGGCTATAGACCTCAGACTCAGTCTCTCAATATAACCGCACAAATAACACAAAATACACCGTCAACTATTAGCAAACTGTTTTACGGAATCCATATAATAATAAACATGCAGTGATCTGCACCATTAGAAAGAAGCAGAAATATAGAAGGGTGTGAATCACAATGAAAACGACCAATCAGATCTCTTCTTTGAATATTCGTTTCAATCTAAATACATCATTACGATCCAGTGTGTCTATAATTGTTCTTGTGTTTGTTATTCAACCTATACTTGGTTAATATACTCGTAAAAAGCTGTAACCGATGGTGCCATTTCAGTTGTTTGAGACGACTTCTGTCAAGTTCTGCGTTAAAGTTGTGCGAAAGATTTGGCCAATGAAGACATCTTTTTAAGGGTGCCTAGATGATCCCTAAAGCGAGGTATTAACATCATCTGGAGTTGACAGATTCGATTCTTAGCGCGGTAACTGCAACCTTCGATTATTAAGTTATCTAGTGTGTCCTTCTATTTTTCTACTTCTTTTTACGAGCAACAATGCATAATGTCTCTGCGTTTCTTATATGTACTATATACCCCTATTACACAGATCTGGAGCTGCATCTACAACCTGTTTGTGGCCCTGGCCTCGCTGAGCTTTGTCCTGGAGAGTGAGCCGAGCTATCGCTACATCACCGATGAGGTCAAGGCCAAGCTAGTCGGCGACTTGCCCAAACCAGGAGACCTCCGCTTCATGATGTATTCCGTGGAGTTCCCTTCTGTCTGTCTGCTAGACATCATCTGTTGGACCTTCTTCACTGTGGAGTTTTTCATTCGGTTAGCAGTTACTCCCAGAATTTCCGTATTTCTAAAGTGAGTACTGACAAACTGCTGTAGAAATGAGTTTCGCTGTTGTACCTAGATTATAAAGAGCCCCTGTAATAGAGCGGCAACAGTAGTTAAGGAGTTAATCCATAGTATTTTAGAACAAAACACAAGGCGACTTTTCACAAAACAAAAGGCGACTTTTCACAAAACACAAGGCGACTTTAAAAAAAAAAAAAAAGACAGGATGACTTTTAGAAAACATAGGACGACGTTTAGAAGTATCTTGAGCAATAAAGTGTCTCAAAGGAGCAAGATAAGAAGATAAGAATGTCTCCTAGTGACTTAAAACGAACCAAGTATAGAGGACGACTTGATAAAACCGGTGAAAGACTTAATCTGTAAATTGAGCAAATGAAGGTGTCCCAAGGATAGTGCGATTACCAAGGAGTTTAGCGAATCACTTGAGTAAACTGAGCTGTTTAAGATGTCCCAAAGGAGAAAAACATCGAGTGACTTAAGGCGTCCTACAGATAGTAGTCGACTTACCAAGTAACTTCTGTGAATAACTTGAGAATTACCATGGGTGACTTAAGGTGTCCTGCATACAGTAGTCGACTTACCAAGGAACTTCAGTGAATAATTTGTGAATTACCATGGGTGACTTAAGGTGTCCTACAAATAGTAGTCGACTTACCAAGTAACTTCTGTGAATAACTTGAGAATTACCATAGGCGACTTAAGGTGTCCTGCATACAGTAGTCGACTTACCAAGGAACTTCAGTGAATAATTTGTGAATTACCATGGGTGACTTAAGGTGTCCTACAGATAGTAGTCGACTTACCAAGGAACTTCAGTGAATACCTTGAGAATTACCAGGGGTTGACTTGATGTGTCTAAAAATAAAAATACATCGAGCGAGTTTTGGTGTCTGAAGGACAGTAGACGACTTACCAAGAAACTTAAATGGCCAATTTGTCAAGATCAGTAACACACCTGTGTTGTGCATGGCGCGACATAAGGTGTGTACCAGTGAGAAAGACATCGAGTGAATTAAGGTGTCACACATGGAAACAATTATTAGACTTGTATCAGAGAACCGACTCACGAATGAACTTCAGTGAACTACTTTTCAAGACCATGAAAGACTTGAGCCATCCCTTGCGCAGCTTGAGATGTTACAAATAAAAGCACATCAAGCGAACTGAGATGTCTCAAAGAAGAAAGACATCGATAGACTTGAGGTTTTCCAGGAATACTGACCGACTTACCAAAGAACTTTAGTAAACGACTTACTAAGATCAGTGAAGAATTTCAGAAGAGTATTCATAGACCTAATGTGTCCTAAAGCAGAGTTACTATAAAAAAATCATTTTATCCAGTTTCGTCCTTTTTAGGACGAAATTTTTTGTTATTTGAAGCCTCACCCTGGTTTTTGCCAGGGGCCGCAATATAGGCAGGCCATAAATATGGCCAATTGTCTGAACGCGGTTTCTGGGACCTCTCCACGGCGATCCTCATCCGCATGGTGGCACTTTGTGTCATCAGGTGTTTATCGCTTGTGTGATGTCCTGGTGGGGTAGAAAGTCAGTCAGTCAGTCAGTCAGTCAGTCCTAAAGCAGAAAGGCATCGAGCGACTAATTGTGTTTAATTGCTAATGGTTGACCCAAAAAAGAACTTCAGTAAATGACTTACCTAGATCAGTGAGCAACTTGAGTAGTGTTCCATGTGTAGACTGTCGTCGTGTCCTGTGTGTTAGCTGTCATCGTGTCTTGTGTGGTGACTGTCGTCGTGTCTTGTGTGTTGACTGCTGTCGTGTCTTGTGTGTTGACTGTTAATGTGTCCTATGTTTTGACTGCCGTCGTGTCTTGTGTGTTGACTGTTAATGTGTCCCGTGTGTTGACTGTCGTTGTGTCGTGTGTGTTGAATGTCGTCGTGTTTTGTGTGTTGACTGTTAATATGTCCCGTGTGTTGACTGTCGTCGTGTCCAGTGTATAGACTGTCGTCGCGTAGTGTGTGTTGACTGTCGTCGTGTCTTTTGTGTTGACTGTTGTCATGTCCCGTGTGTAGATTGTCGTCGTGTCTTTTGTGTTGACTGTTGTCATGTCCCGTGTGTAAATTGTCGTCGTGTCCCGTATGTTGACTGTTGTCGTGTCTTTTGTGTTGACTGTTGTCATGTCCCGTGTGTAGATTGTCGTCGTGTCTTTTGTGTTGACTGTTGTCATGTCCCGTGTGTAGATTGTCGTCGTGTCCCGTATGTTGACTGTTGTCGTGTCTTTTGTGTTGACTGTTGTCATGTCCCGTGTGTAGATTGTCGTCGTGTCCCGTATGTTGACTGTCGTCATGTCCTGTGTGTAGACTCTCGTCGTGTCCCGTATGTTGACTGTTGTCGTGTCTTTTGTGTTGACTGTTGTCATGTCCCGTGTGTAGATTGTCGTCGTGTCCCGTATGTTGACTGTCGTCGTGTCTTTTGTGTTGACTGTTGTCATGTCCCGTGTGTAGATTGTCGTCGTGTCTTTTGTGTTGACTGTTGTCATGTCCTGTGTGTAGATTGTCGTCGTGTCTTTTGTGTTGACTGTTGTCATGTCCTGTGTGTAGATTGTCGTCGTGTCCCGTATGTTGACTGTTGCCGTGTCTTTTGTGTTGACTGTTGTCATGTCCCGTGTGTAGATTGTCGTCGTGTCTTTTGTGTTGACTGTTGTCATGTCCTCTGTGTAGATTGTCGTCGTGTCCCGTATGTTGACTGTTGTCATGTCTCGTGTGTTGACTGTCGTCGTGTCTTTTGTGTTGACTGTTGTCATGTCCCGTGTGTAGATTGTCGTCGTGTCCCGTATGTTGACTGTCGTCGTGTCCTGTGTGTAGACTGTCGTCGTGCTCCGTGTGTTGACTGTTGATGTGTCTTGTGTGTTGACTGTTAATGTGTCCCGTGTGTTGACTGTCGTCGTGTCCCGTCGTGTTGACTGTTGATGTGTCCCGTGTGTTGACTGTTGATGTGTCCCGTGTGTTGACTGTCGTCATATCCCGTATGTTGCCTTTCCTCATGCCTTGTGTGCTAAATGATTGTAATAGTGTCCACCGTGCTGACAGTTCTGGTGTCCTGTGTGTTCGCTGTTTGTCAAATTGCCCTGTCTGTCGATTGTCAGCCTTATTGTTTTGTGAAGTGACTGTCTCCCCTACTGTTTGATGTACTGACTGTCATAGATTTTCTGTGTGTTTGCAGACTGTTACAATATTTACGTTGAATTACTGTCCTATTGTCCTGGTGGTGTCCTGTATGTCAGTGAAAGTTTTATATGTGCCGACAGGAGCAAGTTGAACATCATGGACATATTCTTGTTGGCCAGTGTCTGGATCATCTTCTTCACCAGTCAATACGTCACCGACAGTTTTCATAAGTTTAATTATTTCTTTTTTTATACAAGCGTAAGTGCCTCTGCTGACGGCTTTTTTTCTTGATGTCATGTGTCCCCACCCTCGTCTTGTTTTCTTGATGTCATGTGTCCCTACCCTCGTCTTGTCTTCTTGATATATGTACCCACCCTCGTCTTGTCTTCTTGATGTCATGTGTCCCCACCCTCGTCTTGTCTTCTTGATGTCATGTGTCCCGACCCTCGTCTTGCCTTCTTAATGTCATGTGTCCACACCCTCGTCTTGTCTTCTTGATGTCATGTGTCCTCACCCTCGTCTTGTCTTCTTGATGTCATCATGTGTCCCCCACCCTCGTCTTGCCTTCTTGATGTCATGTGTCCCCACCCTCGTCTTGTCTTCTTGATGTCATGTGTCCCCACCGTCGTCTTGTCTTCTTGATGTCATGTGTCCCTAACCTCATCTTGTCTTCTTGATGTCACGTGTCCCCACTCTCGTCTTGTCTTCTTGATGTCATGTGTCCCCACCCTCGTCTTGTCTTCTGGATGTCATGTGTCCCCACCCTCGTCTTGCCTTCTTGATGTCATGTGTCCCTACCCTCGTCTTGTCTTCTTGATGTCATGTGTCCCTACCCTCGTCTTGCCTTCTTGATATCATGTGTCCCCACCCTCGTCTTGTCTTCTTAATGTCATGTGTCACCACCCTCGTCTTGCCTTCTTGATGTCATGTGTCCCTACCCTCGACTTGCCTTCTTGATGTCATGTGTCCCTACCCTCGTCTTGCCTTCTTGATGTCATGTGTCCCTACCCTCGTCTTGTCTTCTTGATGTCATGTGTGCCTACCCTCGTCTTGCCTTCTTAATGTCATGTGTCCCAACCCTCGTTTTGTCTTCCTAATGTCATGTGTCCCTACCCTCGTTTTGTCTTCTTGATGTCATATGTCTCCACCCTCGTCTTGCCTTCTTGATGTCATGTGTCCCTACCCTCGTTTTGTCTTCTTGATGTCATGTGTCCCTACCCTCGTTTTATCTTCTTGATGTCATGTTTCCCCACCCTCGTCTTGTCTTCTTGATGTCATGTGTCCCTACCCTCGTCTTGCCTTCTTGATGTTATGTGTCCCTACACTCGTTTTGTTTTCTTAATGTCATGTGTCACTACCCTCGTTTTGTGTTCTTGATGTCATGAGTCCCAACCCTCGTCGTGCCCTCTTGATGTCATTTATCCCTACCCTCGCCTTGCCTTCTTGATGTGATATGTCCCCACCCTCGTCTTGTCTTCTTGATGTCATGTGTCCCTACCCTCGTCTTCACTTCTTGATTTCATGTGTCCCCATCCTCGTCTTTTCTTCTTGATGTCATGTGTCCCCACCCTCGTCTTGTTTTCTTGATGTCATGTGTCCCTACCCTCGTCTTGTCTTCTTGATATATGTACCCACCCTCGTCTTGTCTTCTTGATGTCATGTGTCCCCACCCTCGTCTTGTCTTCTTGATGTCATGTGTCCCGACCCTCGTCTTGCCTTCTTAATGTCATGTGTCCACACCCTCGTCTTGTCTTCTTGATGTCATGTGTCCTCACCCTCGTCTTGTCTTCTTGATGTCATGTGTCCCCACCCTCGTCTTGCCTTCTTGATGTCATGTGTCCCCACCCTCGTCTTGTCTTCTTGATGTCATGTGTCCCCACCGTCGTCTTGTCTTCTTGATGTCATGTGTCCCTACCCTCATCTTGTCTTCTTGATGTCACGTGTCCCCACTCTCGTCTTGTCTTCTTGATGTCATGTGTCCCCACCCTCGTCTTGTCTTCTGGATGTCATGTGTCCCTACCCTCGTCTTGCCTTCTTGATGTCATGTGTCCCTACCCTCGTCTTGTCTTCTAGATGTCATGTGTCCATATCCTCGTTTTGTCTTCTTGATGTCATGTGTCCCCGACCCTCGTCTTGTATTCTTGATGTCATGTGTCCCCCACCCTCGTCTTGTCTTCTCGATGTCATGTGTCCCCTAGCCTCGTCTTGCCTACTTGATATCATGTGTCCCCCACCCTCGTCTTGTCTTCTCGATGTCATGTGTCCCTACCCTCGTCTTGCCTACTTGATATCATGTGTCCCTACCCTCGTCTTGCCTTCTTGATGTCATGTGTCCCCACCCTCGTCTTGTCTTCTTGATGTCATGTGTCCCTACCCTCGTCTTGCCTTCTTGGTGTCATGTGTTCCTACCCTCTTCTTGTCTTCTTGATGTAATGTGTCCCTACCCTCGTCTTGCCTTCTTGATGTCATGTGTTCCTACACTCGTCTTGTCTTCTTGATGTAAATGTGTCCCTACCCTCGTCTTGCCTTCTTAATGTCATGTGTCCCCACCCTCGCTTTGTCTTCTTAATGTCATGTGTCCCCACCCTCGTCTTGTCTTCTTGATGTCATGTGTCCCGACCCTCGTCTTGCCTTCTTGATGTCGTGTGTCCCCACCCTCGCCTTGTCTTCTTGGTGTCATGTGTCCCCACCCTCGTCTTGTCTTCTTGATGTCATGTGTCCCTACACTCGTTTTGCTTTCAGGATGTCATGTGTCTCTACCCTCTTCTTGTCTTCTTGATGTCACGTGTCCCCACTCTCGTCTTGTCTTCTTGATGTCATGTGTCCCCATCCTCGTCTTGTCTTCTTGATGTCATGTGTACCTACCCTCGTCTTGCCTTCTTGATATCATGTGTCTCCACCCTCGTCTTGTCTTCTTAATGTCATGTGTCCCCACCCTCGTCTTGCCTTCTTGATGTCATGTGTCCCTACCCTCGACTTGCCTTCTTGATGTCATGTGTCCCTACCCTCGTCTTGCCTTCTTCATGTCATGTGTCCCTACCCTCGTCTTGTCTTCTTGATGTCATGTGTGCCTACCCTCGTCTTGCCTTCTTAATGTCATGTGTCCCAACCCTCGTTTTGTCTTCCTAATGTCATGTGTCCCTACCCTCGTTTTGTCTTCTTTATGTCATATGTCCCCACCCTCGTCTTGCCTTCTTGATGTCATATGTCCCTACCCTCGTTTTGTCTTCTTGATGTCATGTGTCCCTACCCTCGTTTTATCTTCTTGATGTCATGTGTCCCAACCCTCGTCTTGTCTTCTTGATGTCATGTGTCCCCACCCTCGTCTTGCCTTCTTGATGTCATGTGTCCATACACTCGTTTTGTTTTCTTAATGTCATGTGTCACTACCCTCGTTTTGTCTTCTTGATGTCATGAGTCCCCACCCTCGTCTTGTCCTCTTGATGCCATTTATCCCTACCCTCGCCTTGCCTTCTTGATGTGATATGTCCCCACCCTCGTCTTGTCTTCTTGATGTCATGTGTCCCTACCCTCGTCTTCACTTCTTGATTTCATGTGTCCCCATCCTCGTCTTTTCTTCTTGATGTCATGTGTCCCTACCCTCGTCTTGCCTTCTAGATGTCATGTGTCCCTACCCTCCTTTTGTCTTCTTGATGTCATGTGTCCCTACCCTCATTTTGTCTTATTGATGTCACGTGTCCCCACCCTCGTCTTGTCTTCTTGATGTCATGTGTCCCCGACCCTCGTCTTGTATTCTTGATGTCATGTGTCCCCCACCCTCGTCTTGTCTTCTCGATGTCATATGTCCCCACCCTCGTCTTGTCTTCTTGATATCATGTGTCCCCACCCTCGTTTTGTCTTATTGATGTCATGTGTCCCCACCCTCGTCTTGTCTTCTTGATGTCATGAGTCCCTACCCTCGTCTTGCCTTCTTGATGTCATGTGTCCCCACCCTCGTCTTGTCTTCTTGATGTCATGTGTCCCTAAGCTCGTCTTGCCTTCTTGATGTCATGTGTTCCTACCCTCGTCTTGTCTTCTTGATGTAATGTGTCCCTACCTTCGTCTTGCCTTCTTAATGTCATGTGTCCCCACCCTCGCTTTGTCTTCTTAATGTCATGTGTCCCTACCTTCGTTTTGTCTGATTGATGTCATATGTCCCTACCCTCGTTTTGTCTTCTTGATGTCATATGTCCCTACCCTCGTTTTGTCTTCTTGATGTCATGTGTCCCTACCCTCGTTTTGTCTTCTTAATGTCATGTGTCACTACCCTCGTTTTGTCTTCTTGATGTCATGTGTCACTACCCTCGATTTGTCTTCTTGATGTCATGTGTCCCCACCCTCGTCTTGTCCTCTTGATGTCATGTGTCCCTACCCTCGTTTTTGTTTTCTTGATGTCATGTGTCCCCACCATCGTCTTGTCCTCTTGATGTCATGTGTCTCTACCCTCGTCTTGCCTTCTTGATGTCATATGTCCCCACCCTCGTCTTGTCTTCTTGATGTCATGTGTCTCGACCCTCGTCTTGTCTTCTTGATGTCATGTGTCCCCGCCCTCGTCTTGTCTTCTTGATGTCACGTGTCCCTACCCTCGTTTTGTCTTATTGATGTCATGTGTCCCTACCCTCGTCTTGTCTTCTTGATGTCATGTGTCCCCACCCTCGTCTTGCCTTCTTGATGTCATGTGTCCCTACCGTCCTTTTATCTTCTTGATGTCATGTGTCCCTACCCTCGTTTTGTCTTCTTGATGTCATGTGTTCCAACCCTCGTCTTGTTTTCTTGATGTCATGTGTCCCCACCCTCGTCTTGCCTTCTTGATGTCATGTGTCTCCACCCTCGTCTTGTTTTCTTGATGTCATGTGTCCCCACCCTCGTCTTGCCTTCTTGATATCATGTGTTCCTACCCTCGTCTTGTTTTCTTGATGTCATGTGTCTCCACCCTCGTCTTGCCTTCTTGATGTCATGTGTCTCCACCCTCGTCTTGTTTTCTTGATGTCATGTGTCTTCACCCTAGTCTTGCCTTCTTGATGTCATGTGTCTCCACGCTCGTCTTGTTCTCTTGATGTCATGTGTCCCCACCCTCGTCTTGTTTTCTTGATGTCATGTGTCCCTACCCTCGTCTTGCCTTCATGATGTCATGTGTCCCCACCCTCCTCTTGCCTTCTTGATGTCATGTGTCCCCACCCTCGTCTTGTCTTCTTGATATCATGTGTTCCCACCCTTGTCTTGTCTTCTTAATGTCATGTGTCCCCAACCTCGTCTTG